TTTTTTTTTTTTTTTTTTTTTTTTTTTTTTTTTTTTTTTTTTTTTTTTTTTTTTTTCATTACAAAAAATGGCTACTGGTCACGGTACAAACATCGCCAACGTCTTAAAATGTACAACTAATTGACATTATTTGGATGTGTGTATCGTCCGTGTTTTTACCCTGTAATATGCATACATGCATGCATTATTTTTCTAGTTTGTTTTAAATAACACTACAACTTTTCGAAATCACCATTCCAACACACATCACTACAAAACAATTTTTAGTTGGCTTTGATAAACAGATGTACACTCATGATATCACACACTACGACTCAAAAAATCAAATTATTAGATTGTATTATAAGAACTCACAGAGTGCCTTAATAAGTGTGATGTCGGTTATGCCTTGAAGATAATAATGTATAATCGGAATGGCGTTGCTCATGGAATTTTACGATTTAAAAATCTTAACATCTACAATGAAACATGTAATTAGATGATCATCACGTTTGACAAGCAAATTCAAAAAGTTTGCGCTTTAATAATCAGTGCTACCACGGTACGAAAAACGAAAAATATAAAAATAACACAGTTGGCAGCACATGCGCACTCATACGCAAGAAAATAGATATATACATGAAGCAGGGGCCGTACCATATAACTATTTTTCTGTACATCGGCCTATGTTATAACATAGGCCCGCGAAGCTCAATACAAATTATATGGTACGGCTCTCCAGAGCAGCCGGCGATGATCCGAATTCGAACTTTTCGGCTCGGAGTGCGTGAGAAAAACTTGCTCGAATGTTTTTCATTTATATTTCATTTATAAGTTGAATTGATATTAATACGCGTATTCATACATTGTAGGAATCGTGGTCAACTATCCTTAGACACAGAAGAGGTGTGGGCTCAGGTTGACTCGATCGCGGTTATATAGTAATCGTGCGGGAATTTCGCCGCTTGACGGGAGTTAACTATTAGGGGCTTGGCCACCTGGCGAGTAGAGCCTGAAGCGCGAGAGATGTGAGACGCCACATCACTCTCCACCCATGGTCACGATGATGGTGTAACACGAGGAAGTGACGATATGAATGACGAGGGTGTAAAGGCCTGAGAGGGAGAAAGATGTTGAGAAGAAGTCTCGTTGGACTTCCGCGTCCTCCACGCCAGTCCACGCTCTGTTGCGAGAGTCCTGTAGAGAGGCGAGCAGATGATGCTCTAGCCACGATGCGAGGCACGTTGCCGTGTGTAGCGAGATGTGCGATGAGAGAAGTGTGTGGGGATTAGCTGCGATTTGCGTGTACCTACCCGGCGTGGAGGATGCGGAGATGCCGAGAGAGGATTTCGACTAGCGCAGTCGGCCTCTTTCTCTCTCACAACTTACTAGATATTTTCCCCACTCACGGCCATAATATTAAATTTATTATTTGCTAATTTTATTGCATTCACATCGATCAACCACTTCATATATGCAATCCGCAAAAGAGGGGGAATCGAATTCTGTAGGCAAAATTTTCTTTTAACGAAATCTAGCACCTGAAAAAAAGGTTTTTTTATTCCAGCGCCGCGCCAATTTTCACAGTTTTCTTTTGCAAATATCTCGAGAACTAGTCATCCGCAAATAAAAATACAAGTGGAGAGAATTTCGGCAAATAAGGAGGAATCGTTCAAGCCTTGAACAATTACGCAATGTCAATGTTTAATATTTGCGGGCGCTAACTTCACAAGTCTCACGCGCTAAGGAACGGGAGGGGCGCCACGATCCACGATTGATCACCGTGGTGCTGTGACCGTCCGGCCTCTCTTCTCCCGCCTCAGCTGTGGTGGTAAAGCCCTGGCGTGTGCGAGCGAGCAGGACGGTCCTCTCTCGGCATCAGCGTCTGCTTGCAACGTTAGCACGTCGTTGGCGCGCTGGACCAAGTCGCCACATACAGGTAATCGTTAAAGGCAACAAGATGCTGGTCCTTTTTGAAACCCCGGCTGGCTACGCCGTCTTCAAGGTGAGTTCTTTGTTGGTTTGTTTGCGGCCAATTGTTATTTTTAACCTCTACCTCGTCCACGTGCTCGTGGTCATCATGTCACATGTATTACGAGCAATTTGAACGGGATTTCTATATGAGTTATTTTTTTAATTTTGCGGTTTTACATTTCTATTCAAGGAGTATACCAGTAAGCGCGCGTGATAATTAATGGCTTTTTTTTTGTTTTAGTTGTTGGACGAAAACAAACTAGAAAAAGTTGACAATTTGTATCACGACTTTGAGACGCCCGAAGGTGCCAGTAGAGTGTAAGTATCATCAAGTGGATAACAGGAAATAGAAGATATATATAATTCATTAACTAAATATTATCCGGTAATAGTTATCAGTTGGTCATTTATGTTTCATTTTTCAATTTTAGTTTGAAGCTCAAACATTTTGAAAAGTTTGCTGATACAACAGAAGCTCTAGCTGCTACCACAGCAGCTGTTGAAGGTAAATTATGCAAGTCACTGAGAAAGATGTTGAAAAAACAGTGTGCAGAAGTTCAGGAACAATTGGCAGTCGCGGATGCCAAACTTGGCAATGCCATCAAGGACAAATTGAACTTACAGTGTGTCAGCAATACAGCTGTTCAGGAGCTTATGAGGTGTATCCGTTGTCAATTGGATAGCTTGTTGGTCGGGTTACCTAAAAAAGAAATGACTGCTATGGCACTTGGTCTGGCTCACAGTCTTTCTAGGTACAAATTGAAGTTTTCCCCAGACAAGATTGACACTATGATCATTCAGGCAGTTTGCCTGTTGGACGATCTCGACAAGGAACTCAATAACTACGTTATGAGATGTAGAGAATGGTAAGTTTTTTTTTCCATTGTCATTCAATACTTGCCACCTTCAGAATTCATTAATCCTGGTGTGTTTTTAATCTGTAGGTATGGTTGGCATTTTCCTGAATTGGGGAAAATTGTCACAGACAACATTGCATTTGTAAAAACTGTCAATATTATTGGTACACGAGAAAATGCCATTCAATCTGACTTGTCAGATATTTTACCAGAAGATATCGAAGAAAAAGTCAAAGAGGCTGCAGAAATTTCCATGGGAACAGAAATTTCTCAGGACGACATAATAAACATTCAACACTTGTGTGATCAGGTGTGCTATAGTTTGGTTTCCTTCAAGTTTGAACTAACAAGAATATTTATATTGACTGAAAAATTGTAATTCTATTTTCAGGTGATAGAAATCTCTTCCTACAGGTCACAGCTGTACGACTACTTGAGGACGAGAATGATGGCTGTAGCTCCAAATCTCACGGTATTAGTCGGCGAATTAGTTGGTGCTCGTCTTATTTCACATGCAGGTTCCCTTATCAATCTTGCAAAACATCCAGCTTCGACTTTACAAATTCTTGGCGCTGAGAAGGCTCTCTTCCGCGCCCTCAAAACTAAAAAAGACACACCAAAGTATGGTCTTATTTACCATGCACAACTTATTGGCCAGGTAATCATTAAGTTCTTTAACTGTATATGATTCATGTATTTTATGCATGTTGATTCATTATCCTGATCGTTATAATATAATTCTAGGCAACAACGCGTAACAAAGGCAAACTTTCGAGAATGCTGGCAGCCAAGGCTTCATTGTGTACGAGAGTAGACGCACTAGGTGAAGATGGGAGCTTTGAGCTTGGTGCCGAACACAAAGTCAAACTTGAAAGTCGACTCCGAATTCTCGAAGAGGGTAACATTAGGAAAATCACCGGTACAGCACGTGCCAAAGCGAAATTCGAAAAATTCCACACCAAGAGTGAAATACTGGAGTATCCGGCAGCCGCGGACTCGACGCTTCCACGCGGCGTTAAGAGACGGCACAGCGAAACTGAGGAACAGAAACCACTAATCCAAGAGATAGAGGAGACTCCAGAAAAACCACAGAAAAAGAAGAAAAAGAAGAGTGCTGCTGTAGAAGTTGAAGAGCAGCAAGAAGAACCAGTAGAGGCGGAGGTTGAAGACACATCACACACTAAAAAGAAAAAAAAGAAGAAAAACAAGGACGAGGAAGCAATCGTTGAGCCTGTGGAGGTCAAACAAGAAGTGGAAGAGGCAGAAGTAACGCAGAAAAAAAAGAAAAAGAAAGCCAAGAAAGATCAAGAAGAGGTTCAGGAGGCTGTCGAGACGCAAGATGAACCTTTGGCAGTTGATAGCGAGGCGCCACAGAAAAAAAAGAAGAAGAAAAAGAATAAACAGGATTAAAATGGAAAAGTGTACAAAAATAATTTAGTTTTAGGTTATTTCATTCTATATTATAATAAAAACTTGATACATAGATGCCATCTTTGTAATTTTTCACGCCTCTTTTGACACATAACAGTTTTTTTTATTATTATTATTTTTTCGTTATTTTAATACACCATCACAGATTTATAAAACTCACGACTTATGTAATGCACTTGATTTTTGCATGACAGAAATGCAAAATGTTCAACAAACTCTTCTCAAGCTACGTTAGTATATACATACAATCAACCAACATCTATATTATAATATAGCGCAGCAAATGTGTACTATTGTTTGTACGATTAAAAATATGTAATGTACAGAATCCACTTACATTTGAGCACATGTGAAAATAATTTAAATAATTTTACCGAATATATGTATATATTCATACAGATATATTTTATACAATATGTAAATTTGTTATGAATTTACAATTTTTGTTATAATAGAGTTGTCTACATAAAATCTTAAAGAGCGCTTATTATTTACCCATATTAAAACGGCAGTGTATAACTTCTAAATATGTCTTTATTTAAAATTTTCATTTATACAGATTTTTTTTACAGAATGATTGAATCTCTCTCATACTAGGATTATTTAAAATATATTACTTTATCTTTCGTCTCACTTTACGTATAAATTAGTAAATTTTATTAGAAAATTTAACTAAACTTTGTACAATGACTTTTTTCGTTAGTATAAACGAATAATTTTTAATAATAAATAGATTATAGTTTTATTTCTTGCAAAAATGTAGTGAAGTGACGATATGAATGAC